AAATTTTTATTACATTTTTGATATGAAAAAAAAAAAAATAAATGATAAAACTAAGAAGAAAAATGAAACTAAAATTAAAAAAAAAAAAAAATGAGAAATAGGAAAAGGAAAAAAATTTGTAAGATACATTAGTTTTATAAAAATAATACAATTCTATTTTAAAAAAATAAATAAAAAATAATTTTTTATTATAATTTTCTTGCTATTTTATTACATTTTTCTAGGAAAAAAAAAATGAAAATAAAAATGAAAAGTAGGAAATATTTATGAATTGAAAAAAAAAAGACAATAAAAGTTTGAATTTAAATTTAAATGATAATGAAACTATGTAATCTCGAAAGGAATGCTAAAATATTTTTGTTTTTTACTGTTTTTTTTTTTTAATAAATATGTTAATAATAATAATAAATTGTTGCTCTTTCTCTTACTACAATAACAATAAATATATGTATTAACTATTTCTTAAAACAATAAGAAAAAAAAATTTTTAATTCATTTTTGAAATATTATTTCAGTCAAAATATTTTGTGACAAAAGAAGAGAGAGAGAGAGAGAAAGGGAGAGGGAGAGAAAAAAATTCCATTGAAATGACCGTTTTTTGGTGTGAAATGGAAAAAAAAAAAAATTTAGAAATAAAAGTAAAACATTGAATAGTTAACAAGAAAACAAAAATAATTCTATTTGAATTTATTTTTTGAAATATATCAAAATTTTAATAATACGCAAGAATTAGCTAACATATCTAATCACTATTGATAGAACAAAACAAAGAGCAACATTTATCACTTATCACTAATATATTATAATTTATTGGATTATAATTATTTGATAAAACTAATTTAATTTAAGCTATAATTAATCATTCAATAGAAATATAATTATAATAATTATTACTATTATTCATGATAAATATAATTTGTACAAGAGAAATATATGTCCTATGACAATAACAAATTTCTAATCATTTTGGAAATTCCAACGTCAACTAAGATAACGATCACAGCGGGTGCATTTGCATTGACATTAAGGGTATGTAAAAATTATTTTCAAAGAATTTTTAATTTCATATAATTGAGATAAAGAAAGAAAGAATAAAGATTGATTAAATTAATTTGAAAATTTTGATCAGTTTGATTAGAAAATTGAAAGTTGATCTAATCAGATATTCCTAATTTAAAAAAAAAAAAAAAAAAAAATATATTTAAGAAAAACAAAAAAAAAAAAAAGGCAAATAAAGTGTGACAAATTTTCAAATAGTACAGAAAAAATAAAAAAATTAAAAAAATAAATGGAACATTTGTAGGACAAAAAAAAAAAATGTTATAATTTTAGTGCAAAAATTGAATAAATCTTTTTTTTTTTTGTGTGTGTGTTAGTGAAATATTTGTATGAAAAATAAATTTTTGTGTATATATTTAATTAATCAAAAATCAAATTAAAAGATTAAAATACGACGATAATTTTGATTAAATTTCAAGAATTTATTAAGAAAAAAAAACATACAATTGAATGAAATATTAAATTAAAATTTAATTTTTGAAAAAACTTAATTTTTTTTTTAAAAAAAAATAATAAAGCAAATGAAATAATAAACTAATCTTATAAACATTTGGAAATCTGTTAAGAAATATTAAGAAAGCTCATCATTTCAATTCTTCACTGAATTAAATGAAATTAAAATTGTAAGTATATAGAGTTGTTGACATAGTTCGCAATAGAGACCAATGCCAGGGCGGAAAGTGGAAAAAGGTGCCGGTGGATTGTCATCGGGGAAAGTGGGTGTCACATCTTCAAATTGTCAAATGATAAATTCCCATCTCACTTTGATTATATCTTAATAATGCGTATTATAATATATAAATTTATGCATAGAATATCAAAGAAATAATCCAAATATGGTAAAGAATTCTGACTTATGATAATGATAATGATAATAATAATATTGGAAATGATATACCGATGAAATAATTTAACGATTATTGCCTCCTTCACTTCATTAGTTTTTAGAATATTTTAAGTATTTGTTTTAATGAAACAAAAAAAAAAAATAAAACCATTCGAATTATTCATTTTCAATTATCATTTATAATGTTAAAATACATTTTTTTCTTTATTTAAAATTTTTAGTATAAAAAATGATATTTTGTTTTTTTTTTTTTTTTTTTTGATGATTGAATTTTTATTATTCAATATCTAAAGTAATGTAATTTAACACTTTTCAAATGCACTTTAATTGTTACTTAATCATTTATGATTATTTGTAAACAAACGAAAGTAAAAAATGTAAAAGTATTTTTTGAAAGAAAAGAAAAATGATTGAAATAATTTGTAATTTAAAATGAGAATTTAAATAAATTCGAGTAGATAAAAAAAAAGAAATTTATTTTCTCTTTTTCTTATCTATCACTACAGATAACATAAACCAAAAACAAAGGGAAAACAAAACAAAAAAAAAAAAAACGAAAATTAATTGTTGAGCAGAAAAATAGTAAAATGACAATTGTCAACAGTTTTGCCATTTTGCTGACCATGAAAAGTGAAATTATCAGAGGTTAAATGTGAAAAAAAAAAGGAAAGGAAAGGGAAGGGAAGGGAAAGGAAAGAAAATAAAATGTCACACTGTTCGGGTAATTAACTACTAATCAGATGAGAAAATAATTTCAGATGAAGAAGATACGATTGTTTAATTTTTCATTTCAATAAAGAAAAAAAAAAATTTAATTTCAAAAAAAAAAAAAACTTTTGTCAGAAAGTATTATTATTTGAAGTGGACAAATTGAGTGTAAGTCAAATTAAACTAATAATTAACACTGTTGAAAAGAAAAAAAAAACAATTTAAATTATAAATTTCATTGAAATTTTTTTATGTCATTTTTTTCAAACTATAGTAGTCAGCTTGATATAAAAAAACTTTGTCATTTAAAATTTTCTGGAAATTTTAAAATAAATTTTGAATATGGCTAAAATGAACCAAACGATGAGAAAAAGTTGGATTTCACTGGAACTTATGATATCTTATATTTGTTAATTTTATTTTGAAAAATACAAATAAAAATAAAATTTGAAATTCAATTTGCAACAGTTTGCTTATTTGAGACTTTAATTTTACTTTCATTTTTTAAAATTGACTTTTGTTAATTTTAAATATTAGCAATTTTAGAATGTTTTATTCTTTCAGTTAATTCATGAGTGAAATGCATTTTCTATGAATAATTTATTCCACAGTTTTTAAAGCTTGTTTTCAAATATCCTATAATATACGTTTGAATGCGTAGAATCTGACTTACGTAATAGAATGCCATATTTCACGCAAAATATAGCTTAAACGATTTGCTTGAAAAAAACTTCAGCATAAAATTTAAAATTCAAAATACATTGTCTTCAGCAGAGCACTCTTCAAATAGTTTTAATCAGATTGTCAGATAGTTTTTTTTTTTTTAATTTTATTTTTATGATATGCATTTTAAGAGGACAGAAATTAGTGAGAATCTATAATGAAGTATAAGCAGAAGAGAAATCTCTGTATTATTTAGATTAGAATTGCTGCACCAATAATCCGGAAACTAATCCGGAAATGATTGAAGTATAGGCATGTAAGCATAATAATAATATGAATAATGGCTAAATTTTAGCAGAGGAAATGAGCAAGCGGAAATTACAGTTCTAATCTTCCTCTTTCTTCAAACAATTATTCATCGTAATAATAAAAGCGGAAATGGGAGGCGCAAAACGAAGGGATAAAAACAAAAACAAAAAAAAAATTGAAATCAATTAGAATAGGATCAAAGATTATTGATAAGATCTAACCTGAAATGAGTTATGAAAATGAGTTGAATCATTGAAATGGAATTTACAGATATGTGTAATTCCATATTTTGAGATATATTCTAAATTTAGGAATTTAAAATTGATGGTATATTTAGATAACATTGTTAAGGAGATGAGTTAAAGATGGATCACATTCCCGGTATGCCTCATTGATATCGAGGTGACCTCATTTACATCCCCCGATAATCCTTTGCAAATTAGATATTAAATTAACATTTAAATATTTTATTTTAGATGGTGCAAACAGATGATAGATTTAAGTGATGAAAATATGCGGTAAATATTTTAAATTATTAAAATGTGTACAAAAAAAAAAAAAAAAAAGGATAAGTAGACGAAGAAAATTATTAACAATTTATTGTAGAAATGTCATTAATTTATTGTTTCCATAAACAAAAAAATGAAATGCTTAGGTGGTTTTAATTGATTAAAATTTAATTTAAGTTTCAGTAAATAAATTAGAGAAAGTTTTATGAATAATATAACATTTAAAAAAGAAATAAATTAAAAAATTTGTAGGTTCTTCTTTTGCAAATAATCATAAAATCACAAAATTAGAAATTTTTGCTATCTTTCTCAAGCGTACACGTAAAAAAAGTATCCTCTCGCGTAGATGACGTAAAAATATTGATGTTATTATTAATTTATGGGTAAATATCGATTTACTCTACAAATCCTAACATTTTAAATTATTGACAAAAAAAAAAAAAAAATCCAACTGAAATTGAAATATATTTGTTATGCAAATAAAGCAATGAAAATTGACGTAACTTACGCCAATCTTTCTTGGCTCGTTTTTTTTTTTCACGGCATTTTAATAATTTATAAAATCTTGCTTAAGAATGTATTTCAATCTATGAAATTATTTTGTTTTAGCTTTGATTAGTTCAAATTAGATTAATTGTTATTTCCAATGATTGTTGTTTATTTATTTAATTTAATTCACATTCAGTTTTAATTATTATCAATATTTTATAATTATTGAAAAGTGATTGTAAGCTAACAACACATTAGCATTAAATTTATTTTTATTTTTCTCTTTTTTTTTTCGCAAATAAATAGAAAATTATAAAATATTTCACTTTTATTTCATACTACAATTCGATGAGATTTCAACTTAAATTAATACTTTTTCTATGATTGAATAATATATTTAAATTTATAAAATCATTTTAAATCTTTTGTGGTTCTCCTTTCCACCACCAAAATGAGTCACCGCTTCGCATGCAAGCTTTCACGCGTTCGTCATCTGTCCACCATGCTGCATCTGAAGCTGCTACAAAACAAAAGTAAACATTTGTGATTAGCGAAAAGAATGCATGCAGCAAAAATATGAATCGCCAATCATAAATTGTTCCTTCACCAATTAATGCATTCACCTGTAAAATAAATAAATAAACAAATAAGTAAACAAATAAATAAATAGGTTATAATAAAAAATTTAAACTAAAACGCATTAAATTGAACATTATCAGTAAATAAATAAATTGGTTATAATACAAATTTGACCTAAAATACATTAAATTGAACATTATAAATAAATAAACAAGTAAATAAATGAATAAATAAGTTATAATAAAAAATTTAAACTAAAATAAATTGATTATGATATAAATTTAAATTAAATACATTAAATTGAACATTATCAACAAATAAATAAATTGGTTATAATAAAAAATCTAAATTAAAACGCATTAAATTGAGCATTATAAATAAATAAATTGGCTATAATAAAAATTTTAAATTGAACATTATCAAATTATTAGGAATGTAATAAAAGTTTAATAAAAATTAATAAGATGTAAAAATTTCTTTTTTTAACTAAGCTAAAATAAAATAATGTAATTATTAAATTACTATGTTTAAAGTTATTTTAATTAATTACTATGTTACTTTAAGAGAACTTATTTAATATATTATTTTTGCATTTAAATTTATTAAAATATAAAATTACTATGTGTATAATATAGTAATTTTAATATATAATTTGAACATTAATTAATTTTATTTGTTTAAATAAACAAACCAGAATTGGTGATAGTAACATAGCAATGCACCAAAGAATTTGAATATGTCCAAGCACAAAAGCACTATATTGTCGCGACACTAATGTAGCGCACTTCAAAACAAAAACAAAATTAGTAGTAGTTTTTTTTTTTTTTCATGAAATTTAATTAATTAAAATTGACTAATTATTAATAGATAATTAATTAAATAATTTCAATCAATAAAATAGCACATCAAGAAAAAATACTATCTTTAATTAATCATTAATGAATTCTAATTTTTCAATAATGAAATTTTATTTAAACCTTATTAAAACCAGCTCCATTGAAACCATACATCGATGTTGCTAATGTTAGCAAAATTACACCCGTTAATGGGTAGCCTAAATTCTAATTTTAGTATTTTTAATAATAGTATATGAATAATTAATTCTTTGAAAATAATTTTCTAAAAAAAATTTCAATAAAAGTATATTAATTAACTTTGCAAAATTGATAAATTTCCTAATTCAAATGATACAATTCATTTTTTAAATCATTCAATTTATCAATTAACTACTAACATAATTGTTTTTTTTTTTGAAATGATTTTAAATAGAATATAAGAAATTCTTTTTCAAATTTAAAATTAATTAACCTTGAGGTAAAAAGGCCAAAATAATGAGAAAAAATGCTGAAATACCAAGTGCTATGCTATTATATAAGCGTAATTTTGCAGTTTCTGATAAAATATGTAATTTATCACTGCTATAACCAGCAAAAATCTAAAACAATGATTGCTTAAGAAAATGGAAATTATATTTTAAATTTAAAAAAAAAAAATGCAATTTTTCTGTTCAGCTAGAGAGAAGTTTAAAATTTTAAAATTAAAATTTCTAATATATAGATAACCTTAAAAAGAAATTGAACAAGCACTGGAAGAGCAGCGGAGAAACCGGTATGTTCCACCGAATATCCCAGAATTTCTCTGATATACTGTGGACTAAATGTATGTATTAGCTGAAAATAAAAAGTAATTGTTGTTTTAAAGTAATAAAATTACTCATATTTGTGATATTATTTAATTATCGATTAAATGATAATTAAATAATAAGAAATTATTAATTAAATAATAATTATACATTAATTTATAAATTGATCAATGATAGATCAATATTTGATGCATTTTATCCTAAAATTTATCCAATAGTTATCTTTACATTATCACTTATCAAGCATTAAATTGACATACTATTAAAATATATTTAATGAAATGATATACCACTAAAAAAATGCATATTTAATTAATTAATTAAAAAAAAAATTAATTAAAATTTAACCATTTAAATTAAAAAATTTTTTCTTTTCCTCTATATTTTAACAAATGCAGCGGAAACAAATTTCGTTTTCATTGTTTAATTTGATTATTTCCAGTGCAATAATTAATTCATTTATTAAATTTAATTTAATTTAAAATATTCTACACAAAAAACCTGTAATGTCATCAGATCACCAATTGCTGCTGCCCAAATACCCCAAATTGCTGGTGTAGATAAAATTGCTAAATATGGTATTTTCTGGTGCTTTTTTGCTGCTGATAACATGGTTGCAGTTGATCGTCCACGGTTTATTTCTTCTAATTCAATTTCATTTACTAATGGATGTTCAGCTGAAAATTTTTCGTTTTTTTTTTTTTTTTGAAATGAAATGAAATGAAACTTTTCAATAAAATTTTATTTTTTAACAATTGCTAAAAAAAACATAAAATAAATCGTAAATTGTTCAATAATCGATTTGGCAATCGATTTCTAAAGTATTACTTTTGAGAGAAATATGAGAGAAATATCTATCAAAAATTAGCGCCAAAAGAAAAAGGATAATTAATCATTTAGGATTATGTTTGGCAAAAAGTAAATAAATAAATAAATAAAATAAAAAAAAATAGTAAATAATATATAAAAAAAATATAAAAATAAATAAATAAATAGACAATTTCAGTAGGTTAATTATATCGCCAAATAGTCCGAATGACTGACTGGCTAATTTATTTATTTATTTTATAAAATAAACAAATATTTTTTGTGTTATGAAAGTTTTTTTTTTTTTTTTTTAAATTGTAAGGAGATTTTCAATGTAATAATAACCTATCAAAATTGTCTATTTATTTATTTATTTTTATATTTTTTTTATATATTATTTACTATTTTTTTCTAAGTGAGAAAGTTACAAAATAAAAACCTGGTTGATTTCTGTACAACAATACCCAAACTGCAAATGCAATAAATGATATTCCAGCATGTAAATAATAAACAGCTGGCCAACCGAAACTTGACGTACACAACTTGAAATAACTTTAATAATAATAATAATAATAACAATAATTAAGAAAGTTAGGTAATTAAATATCATTTCCTCTTCAAATTATTAATACAATAATAATTGCAATTTAATTGCAATTAATCTATAATTTAAAAAAATAGCAATAATAATAGTAATAATTGATAATTAATTAATTTTATAAATTTTCATTAAATTTTTCCCATACCTTACCAGATGTAGCCATTGTAAAGACAGCAGCTAATTGACTAAATGATGACAAAGTTGAAATAAATAATCCATTTTGTTTAAGTGATGCCCAACTTGATGTCACAGCACCGGTGGTTGGCATACATATCGTAAAGCTTATACCCTACAAAAATAAACAAAGTGTAAATAAATTTAACTATTTTTCTAATATAATTTTTATTTATTGAATTTTGAAAAAAAAAAAAAAAAAAAAACTAAAACAAACTTGACAAACTCTTAGGATGACAAAATATACGATTCCATTTTGAGCTACTGCAAGTGGTACTAGCATTGTTGTTATAGCTGTTAACATGCCACTCACAAAAAATATGATTCGAAGTCCGAAATACTAAAAAAAGAAAAATTGAAAACATGAAATTAAATTTAATCGTATAATACGGCGAGGATTTTATGGCACAGCGATTATCAGAAAGGATTTTATGGCACATTTATACTTTGGATTATAATATAAAACAATTTATTGGATTATATTATAATTTGCTTCAAGCTGAATAATTTTATAATGAAAGTATTATTATTACATTAGTTTAAGTAAGAAAAAATAATTTAAAAAAGTTTCGTTCATTTTTAAAAAATTTTAATCATATTTTTTTGTAAAATAAAATTTTATAAAAAGTAAATAAAAAATGATTTACTTACCTGCAATGCTTGTGTAACAAATATTACAGTTAAGAGTGCACCAACTGCAGTAGAACTAAATATAATAGTTCTATCATCTTTAGAGTATCCTTCATGACTTGCATTTCGTGCAGACTGCAAAATGCTAGCAATCAATTAAGCAATTCATTTATTAAATAAAAATTTTAAGTTATTCGATTAAGATAATTTTATACAGACTGAAATAGTAAACAAATATAAATATCATGATTTTTTCCACGAATTGTTGACTTTTTCACGGTTTAAAAATTTGCATTTTTAATTTTAAAATTTGTAAATAACTTAAAATCTTTATTAGTTCAAAAATTAGATAAAGATGAAATTATTGGCTAATCGAGTAATGAATAATTGAAATAACCATTATATTGATTCAATAGAGAAAAATAATTTTTGCTATAATAATGCTATCAGTTCTTTTTCGTTTTTATTTCAAATATTTAATGTCAAAAAATTAAGCTTTAAAAACTAATTAAAAAATTCTTATTAATATTTATTGTTTATTTACATTTTCATGTTGTATATATAAATGTAATAATAAATTCCACAGATTCATAAGAATATGCAAATATATCGCATCAAATTTTTTTTTTACAAATACAAAAATTAGCAAAATAAAATTTAGCACTTAATAAAATTAAATTTCAAGTTTGTTTGATCTGAAAAATAAATAAAGGTAAAGGTAAAATTAAGAGAAATAATTGCAATTCTCAATTTCAATAATGGAGGATTTTCAAGGGGTCATCAATACCTCTCGATAATTTGACTCATCCAGTGTCACTCGAGTGCAACGTTGGTCATCTAAAGGTCATCATAGACTTTTTAGTGCTCAAATTTAACTGAACTTCTCATTATGTAACCTAAAATTACTAATAAATATTTACATGGCTACAAGTAAGTTAAAAGGCTAATATAATTTGAAGAAATGAAATAACTTTATAAGAACAAAAATAATTGAATGTAACTTAAACACCTGTTAAAGTAGATAAATTCAGATTAATTTTTGAATTTTTGAAATATAATTGATGGATGAGAATGTAAAATTTTATTCAGATGAACAAAGCTTACAATGTAATAATTGTATGATAAATTATTATTTCAAATTTCAGATTTTAATTCTTTAATAGAAAATAAATTCTAAAAAAAAAAAAAAAAAAAAAAAATCAATGTTATCAGAAATAAAACAGTGCCCATTATAGACAAAATCGAAAAATTAATTAGAAATTGAATTAAATGAAAAAAAAAAAGATAAGAAAACATTAATCTTTTGAAATTAGTTTTTTTTTTTTTTAATTAAAAAAAAATGTATATGATATGAATTTCATATAATTCTTTATTTAGTAATATTTTACATAAATAAATGACAGTAATAATTTTTTTATTAGAAATTTTTTTCAATAATCTTTACTAATAACTTTTATGGAATTAAAATATTAATTTTTTTTTTTGATAAATTCAAATTGAAAAAGGAAAAACTTTTATCAATTTGCAATTAATTTATTTGATTGCAATTAATTTTTAATTAATTTATTTTTGATTTTGGTTTTTAATTTAATTTTTAATTTTTGAATAACCAAAATCAAAAATTAAATTAATTTTTGAAAATTGATTTTTTGATGCACTTATATGTAAATGTGTAACAATTTTGCATTATTATTATTAATTTCTTTTCATTTCTTAATAATTTTAAAATATGTTTATTTATTTATTTATTTATTTATTTATTCTTTTTTGTTAGTTTGATCTTTGCTTGAATTACACATGAAAATGAATTAAACCAAATAAATTTTAATTAAATTATCCATTTATAACTCAAAACAAATGCAATACTCAAATAATACCTATTCACAATGAATTAAATTAATCTCTTTTTTTTCAAAAAAAAAAAAAAAAAAAAGAAAAAATAAGCATTAAAATGAAAATTTTTTAAATAACTTTCCTTTAAAACTTTAAAAAAAAATAAATAAATAAATAAAAATTTATTTTAAAATAAAAATTAAATACTAGCCTGATTAGCATGTGATAATTCTTTACCATATTGTGGTGATATACAAAGAACAGTAAAATTAAATGTGACAATATTTGACATAATCGATGCAAGACATAACAGCGTTGACACTAATATAATATAACGTATTCCACGTATCCGTGAAGAATTATTTGACGTTGTACCACTTAAATCGTTTGCATTTTGATTAATTGCTCCCAACATTATCACATTTTGCTCATCTGATTTTGCCATAATTTGCAAATTACTGCAAAAATATTTTAAAATATGCTTAATTTATATTTTATTTAAAATGCTGCAAAAAATCGATTCACGTAACTTTGAAAATTTTATGACGTAAACGAAAACGTACGTTGAAAATATACTCGTCAATAATGGATAAAATTGAAAAAAAAAAAAAAAAAAAAAAACGAAAAAAGAAAAAATTGTAAAAACTAACAGCTGTTCTACTTTTTTTACTTCTTTCTTCCTGAACATATTAAACTATTAGGATGGTTTCAATGCTTTTTAAAATAAGCCATCAATTGATAATAAATCTTTAAATTTTAAATTTAATTTAATTTTTTTTTTTGTTTTTTGCTACTTTTACTACTTCCCTACGTACACGTTAACGTGCGTTACGTGAAGTTTTAGTCTGATAATCTAATTTTGAATTGATCAACAACACTGGAACATTAGATAGCTAATTATTACATAATTATTTGAGATTTGAGATCAGAATACGCTAAAATTTAAAGTAATTTTCAGATTTGCTAATTATTTGAAAAAGAAATAAAAATGAAAAATAGACATTAAAAATGACAACAAATAATATATCATCGAAAAATTACATCTAAAATACTAAAATTAAGTGTAAAGAAAAATTTTTTCCATCTTTTTTTTTTTTTTTTTTTTTCAAAATTAAAGTGGAAAAAAAAAAACCGCTTCTAATTGATTGATATAAATGATTGCAAATAAACAAAACAAAGTGAAATCAGGTTCAAATTGAAAAATAAATTTTAGATGTTAATAATTAATTTTGAAAAAAAAAAAACAAAAACAAAAAAAAAAAAAGAAATAGTTTTTAAAAAATAGAAAATGAAAATAATTTTATGTTTTCTTTTTCTTTTTTTTTTTTTTTTAATGCATCAAAATTTTTTTCAAAAAATAATCAACAGAAAGCAATTTTAAATCAAATAGAACAATAAAATGTTAATGATAAGCAGAAAGAGTTATATGATATTGAGTGATAATGATAAAAGATAAGAAAAGAACGAATAGCTTTATCTTAGCTTAACTTATCTTAGCTTAGCAAAGCACTTAAAATGTTCTTAACAATTAACAAGTGATAATTATTGATTACTAATGATTTTTGATCATTTGCACTCTATTTTTTTTTTTTTTGTTTTAATAAAAGAAACTAATTAATTCTTTTAAATTAAAATTTAATTTTGATATATAATCATTAAATGCAAGAATGATTAAACTGAATGAGAATGAAAGGAAGAAATGAATTATTAGTATAAAATTTATAATATAATAAATCATTTTGTTAAAAATAAGCGAAAAAAAAAAAGAAATTTTTGATAAATATTATAAAATACAAAAAAAAAAAAAAAAAAAAAAAAAGTAATACAACGAAAAAAATTTTTTTTAATTCTTTTTTTTTTTTTTTTTTGTTCAATGAAATATTTTTAGAAAAAATAGTTTAAAAGAGAAAATGAAAAAAAGATGAAAGATTGATTTAGTTATTTACAATGATGAAAAACTAATTACTTTGCTAGAAATAATTGATTACCAATGATCTAAAATTTAACAAAAAGTGATGTCAACTTAAATTATATAACAAAAATTACTGCAAATTGAAATTATTTTTATTTAGTTATTTTTATTAGAGTTTTAGTAATTTTTGATAATTTAAAAATTTTACTAATTATTACTAAATTAATTTTTTGTTGATAATTTAAATAAAATTTAAAAATTTTTACCAATTAAAAAATAGCCATCTAATTGAGTCATATATTGAGAATTTTAAGTGTAAATTCAAAAAAAAAAAAAACTTTAAAATTTGATAATTATTTTTGATTGAATTCCATTTTTGTAATATATTTAAATGAAAAAAAAATGTATAAATTAATTGCAAAAATTATCTAAATTTAAATTTTTAAGAAAGAAACTTTATTTCATTTCATTCCTTTTTTATTTTTTTTTTACTAAGTGATAAATTTTTTTTATTTTTCAGTTTTAATTTTTAAATTATTAGTTTTTATTAATAAATTTTAAATTAAGAGGAGAAAATACAAAATTATCGTTTTTTTTTTTCACTTTTTTTTCAATTTCCAAAACAACAATAGCATTTTATAATCACTGTTAATTTTAATTTTTTAGTAATAAATTTTCCTAGTAATATTTTTTAGTAATTGTTAGTGATAAAAATTAGTATATATATTTTTTTATTCCTACTTTTATTGCTTTTAAATAATTTATATTTTCTTTTTTTTTCCTTTTAAGAAGTAATTTTAACTTAGATTTAAACTTAAATTTAAAATGCATATACCACTTTAAGTATTTGAGTTTTTTTTTTTTTTTTGTTTATTGTATATTAATGATATACTTGTCAAAGTATTATTTCTTAATTATTCTGGAAAATTTTTTTTTCTGTTTGTTCTGCTTTGTTTATCAATTTAAAATTTCATTAATTAACATAAAAAAATTAATTAATTAGTACTTTAGATTAGATTTATCCTACAACAAAGCACATGGATCTTTTTAGAAAAATGTCTGTTAGATCAATAATAAGTATAATTAATTACCAATTCTTTTTTTTTTGGAGCCAAATTTTAAACTTAACTTTTAAAACCCTTTTTTTTAAAAAAAAAAAAGAAAAGAAAACATGAAAGTTCTACGATCTATGATCTATTGTAGTCTCATCAATAATTAAAAGAAATTTCATTTAAATTCTAATAATTTAATGATTTTTAATATTTTGTAATAAATTATTGAAATTACAAAAATTAGTCAAATCGAAGAAGTGACTCTTTCATATATAACTTTTCAGATAAGGCAGTCACATTTGATTTATTGCGAAAAAGTAGAAGGAAAGCTAAAAGTGATAAATTTCTAAAGTATAAATAGATGTATTCAAAAAAGAAAATGACAGATGGCTAAGAAGAATTTTGCTAGGAAATTTGAAAATGCCCAGTAAAGATTGTTTCATAGCTTTAAAATAATATAATAATAATAATAATAAAATAATTGTAATACATAATAATAAAACAAAAAATATAAAAATAAAAAAATAATATTCCTAAAAAAGAAAAAGAAAATGGTTGAGATTATTCAACGAGGTATAATTTGGTGAAGAAAAAAAAAATAAAACAAAACAAAGTTAAATTTGTTAAAAAATTTAAATTATAAATTGCTAACAGATGTTAAATGATAGTTATTTTTTTTTAAATGAAATAGAAAAGAAAGAGAAAAATAAAATAAACTCTCAACTATTTTGTTTATTTTTAAGAAAGCGAAAAAATAAATGTTAAAATAATTGTGTTAGTATTATTCCATACTTTTTGCATACTTTTTTTTTCATTAAAAAAGAAAAAAGTATTTTAAATAAAAAACATTAATCTTTTTTTTTTTTTTTTTTTTTTTTTATAAAAAATTGAAATAAGCAATCAGTTTATCTTATAATAGGAAAAAATTTTATAATAGAAAAATCTTATAATAGAAAAAAAAAAAAAAATTATTGTACAACAATTATAGTACACGTCACAACGTATGCAACAATTATAGTACACGTCACGACGTATGCAACAATTATAGTACACGTCACGACGTATGCAACAATTATAGTACACGTCACAACGTATGCAAAAATTATAGCACACGTCACGACGTATGCAAAAATTATAGTACACGTCACAACGTATGCAACAATTATAGTACACGTCACGACGTATGCAACAATTATAGTACACGTAACGGACGAAAATGAACGGAAATTCATGAAATACTCTACCCGTACTTACTGCAAATACGTCAGTGAATGAAAAGGCCAATAATTGGAGATGGGCAAATTCTAAGAACGAAAAGTCTGATTGGATGATGCTAGCTGGGCTAAATTCTTAATACGTTGCCTTTTCTTGCTTCATCAGACAACTCCTACTCCTAGGACTATGCTAGTGTTGGACTGATATCTCTCAGTTTAAGGCCAAACTGGTCCACCGACGGTAATCGATGTGTCCTAGGCTAAACGATTGTTTCAGCTAGTTTCTATACCTTCTTTTTCTTTTTTTGGCCACATCCTTTGCTGTCAACCAGTGACTTTAGAAAAAAAACCTTAGAAAGGCGATAATTGCCTGTTTTAGATGTTAGCTATATTTGAAATAGGATAGCCTCAAAATAATGGTAATTCCAGGATGACAATATTGGTGACATGATCAGTGTAGTGGACATTTAGCGAATAGTTTAAAGAGTGACAGGTGACAGGTGATAATGGCAGATAAGCTAGGATTCAGATTCGTACAGATGATAGAAGGACTTCGTACTTTTTTTTTTTTTTTTTTCTTAAGATTTCATGTAGTTTTCTGAATACTATGTTTTGCTAGCTGATTGTCAACCTCGTGCTTCATCGATGGTGACATCCAAGGAAATGATATTTCCAGAGATAAGTAAATTGTTGGATTAACTTAAATGAGATATAAGGAGGAGCAGAGTGAAACTTTTGTTATCTTCAAATTAAAATTTTCAGTTTTAAAAGCTCAACAATTAGTTTCTAACAAACAAAAATGCATCTGCAAAGAGTAATTCTCGGTTGACGTCATTTAGATTCTTGGTGACACTATCAACATTTTCTTCATCGAGATTTGTCGTAATCATTTGGCATTATAGTTTGCAAAGACGTAACTTTATTCCACGTCGTTGATTACGAGAAAAGATTAAGAGAATAAATTGTCATATTCGACTTGACCGAGCTGATCTTCTTATAAAAGCAACAATCTTGAGGAACTTCGAGAACAGTCGGGAAAGTTTTTAGTAGGTATTCTTATTGTTATCGTAAATTTACAACGTCAATAATAACTTTATAATTCTCTTATTGCTCTTATACAGTAAGTAATAAGAAAGAAATGTATAAATTAAATATTAAATTATGCCAATAGTCCATTTAAATGCTCGTTGAACTGTCGTACCTTTGCTGCACCATCGTTTGTTGCAAGTGAATTGGGTGAGTGCATGCATGCGTGCATGCGTGCGTGCGTGCTGCGATGAATTGAATCGAAGCTTAGCTTACAGTATTAGTGCTTTTAGCTTTTATATAGTGCACATTGGCTTATGACAAAGGACACAAATTCGAGTGATCTTTGCTCTTTGACAGATTGGCACTGTGTCAAACTGTGAATTTGAAAGAATTCAACGATATTTCAATGATTGATTGCAAGTGAAAAGCAGTAAATAAATGCTTTTGAGATGAATGTTGGATAAATGATTTGTTAGTTTGAAATGAAATTTTCAAAAATTATTTTACATTGTTTAAAGAATATTCAAATAAGAACAATCTTTAATCTATGAATTTCTGTCTTTTTATAGATTTAAATATAAAATTATTTCGATATATCAAAAATTTATTTCAATTTTTTGACAGAAAGACTCGAAGAGATATTTACTAAATAATAAGAAGAATTTTCAAATCCATAAATCTTTTGAATTTCACTCAAATTTTTCATTTATAAGTAATGAACAAATAATGACAATCACTTTTATGACAAAATTTTATAAAAATTTTGAATGAGTGGAAAATTCCTTATTAAATCAGTGATAATGGCTGATGAGAATGTAAAATGAATGTTTTATATAATTTTAAAATAAATTAGAAAAATAAAAAATTCATCTTAGTGCTTCTAATTAGCTCAGAAACTACATTAACTTTTAGGTAGAGGTGCTTCTGTGATAACAAAATAGTTATTTAGAACTTTCCTGACAACAATTCTCCATTAGCAAAGTGATTCTCAGATTGTAGACTTGTTTAAACTTTTGAATTCTTCTCGAGCAGTGACAGATGGCATCCCAATGACAATAAAAGGAAATCTACAAAAGAGTTTGTACATTTATTCAGAAATGAAAGACAAAAAATGATGCAAATATTCCTAAAGTGAAAGATGAAAAAATTCACTTATTTTAGTTAAATTAAAAAAAATAGATTGTTCATCCCTGAAATTTCAGATTTCTAATTAAATTAAGACTTTTATTAAATCAAAAATTAATTAGAATACTGTTTCTATCATAAAAACATAGTAATAGCATTAGCAAATTAAAAGCTATAAAAAATTCTTTAAATTAATTATTCTTTCAAATATACTTTTGATTTAAATTCCTTTTTAAAAATTCATTTTCTCTAATATAATGAGCTCATTTTAATAGAAAAAAAAAAATTTTTTTTTTTGTTTTGGCTTTTTTTTCGTTGTTAATTAAATTTAATTTTTAAAAATTTCAAACTTCCGTAGCAAATTTTTTGAAAAAAATGCACACAAAATATCTTATAAACAAATTTTTGAAGCACTTAATAAATGTTTGTTCTTTTTCTTCTTAACTTTACTTTAATTGGTCTGAAAAAAAAGAAATGAAATGAAATGAAATGAAATAATGAAGTTAATTTTAATCATAAGAATTGGAAAGTTTGATTTTATTATATTTTACATTAAATTTAAACTTAGTATATTTTTTGTAACAAATTATTTGTTACTGAAAAATTTGCAATAACAAGAAAACCTCAACAAATAAATAATCTATCCTTATTTAATTTAATTATGACGATCCGACAAAGTAATGATCAGATCTAAATTGATCCGATCACTTTATTTATCTACAAATATCTCCAATCGATCGTCATAAAATCAAACACAAAAGTTTTGTCCTTATCTTCAATTCTTTATTTTTCTGGAAAATTTCACCCAAATGATAAATGTAACAAGTTTTTATTTCTAAAAATTATGAATTAAATTAAATCAAACAACCTTAGATTGCAGTTTCAATCAATCAAAATGGATTTCTGAGCTAAATTTAATATGCCATCTGCTATTTGTTTACTTTCATTTCTTCGACTTATTTATTTTTTACACCATGAAATGAAAAAATAACAAACTTAGAAATTTAATGAAATTCACTTTGAAACAATCAAATAGTAATCTTAAAAAAGAAAATTTGTATCATTTGAAACATTAAATTTACTTAGTAACAGAATTGAAATGAGTATTTCAGTACTTTATTATGTGTTACATTAATTTCATATTTTAAAAACAACAACAATCAATTGAAATTTCAAGTGAAATTTGAATTCATTTCGAAGTAACAAATAAAAGATTCAAATTGAATTTTATTAAATATTTTATGCTCAAAATGGCCAAGTCTGATTGTTTGTGCTGATATTAAATATTAAAATATTAAAATTCAATTTAGCCATTTAATGGAAATAATTTTACAGTATGCGTTGACAATTTGATACAAATTTATTTCCATTCTTGCATTTCTATGATAAAACAAAACCTTAAAAATTTTTTTAAAACTTAAATTTTATTCAAATTCAAATTATCAGTAACATCACTGAAATGATAACCGTTATAAGCATTTCAGTGTTTTATTATAAACAAACAAATATTGTGTCACTTTGAATAAATTCTTGGATTTTGTTCTATATTTTAGATTGATCAAAAAAAAAAAACTTATATAATTAGCAATTAAAGCTAATAAAATTTAACAACAAATAGTAAATCAATCATTCATGATAATACCATAAGATTGTGTGTGAAACAAAAGACAATTAATTTTAATCATAAACAAAATCTTAAATCTTTGATCTCAAAGTAAACAAAGGTATCTTATTGTTTCATTTGTAAACAATTAACAATAAGATACTAGTAATAACGTCACAAACTTCAATAGAAAAAAAATCTGTAATTTGAAATTATAAAAAAAAAAAAAAAAAATCAATTTCTGAGCAAAATTTACATTTGTCATATTTAATCACTAACAACAGATCATATTCATAAATCATATTTTAGAATGTCTCATTTCATGTGACACTTATAGGACTTTGATGCATTTGACAATTTGGTTGACAAATGATTGGTAAAAGATTGAAAGTTTCAAGTAAAGTAATACTATAAAACAAAATTAGCCATCAAAACAAACAAAAACAAATATTGCTAAAGTTTAATTACAGTCTCTTTCATCTTTCTCTCTCTCTCTCTCTCTCTCTCTCTCTCATTCTCAAATTTGCTTTTAAAAATTTAAATTAATTAAATCTGAGTTGTAAAAATAATATTATCTGATAGTCAAATAAAAGCGAATATAATTAAATTTAAATATTTTCTGCAAAAACGAAACAATTTTATACTTATTTTTACATTGTTCCTATTCATTAAATTAATAAACTATTGTGTATATTTTTTAAAAAAATTTTTTTATCATAAAAAAAAATGCAAAAAAAAAAAAATTTTAATTTTAAATTTTGATAATAAAACATTTTACAATATTAGTGGAGAAAAAAAAAAGAGAAAAACATTTATTTTATTTACACTTAATTTTATCATTTTCGATTTGTATGTAAAAAGTTAAAAATTAAAGCAAAAGAAGTTCAATTTTAAATTTGCTAAGCAATTTTTTTTTTTTTTTTTTGACAACAACACTTAATGAATATTTTTAGTTCTAAATTTTAACATAACAAAATTTACTTTTAATGTACTGATTTTGATTTTGATTAGCTAAATTATATTTGCAAAAGCAAAATGAGCACTAATTCCTAATGCAATCAAAAACTTTTTCATTTCTTTTTTTTTTTTAAAAAAATGAAAAAAAAAAGTTTTACGGAATATTTTCTCATCCATTAATTTGATGAAAATTGAAATGTTGCAAAATGTGGAAAATTTTGCATAGGATTTCATTTAATGTCATAAAA